CAATATATATATAAACATTATTGCGATGTTTAAAAAAATACAAAGGTCTTGCAATTTTGGAGATATTTAGACAACCAATTGAACTCACTGAAATAATTTTACTTTTTAAAAGCACTCGCCTTTATCTTATTGGTAATTTACCCACTATTTAGTTAGTTAGTTAATTTCTGTTCTTCCTATTTTTTCTAAGTTACTTGAAAAAACATTATTTAATCAACTACTTCAGCATCTAGAAGCTAAAAAAATGCTAAGCAATAGCCAACATGGTTTTCGCACGTCAAGGTCAACCATGTCTGCATTAATTTTATTCACTGAACAAATACGTGCTGCTTTGAACAAAGGTCAAGTAACTGGTGCTGTGCTGGGCCGGATGCACTCACTGCAGGCAGACGTGTGTCGGTGAGCTCCTGGTAATCCTCAGCATTGATAGCTTTTATTTTGATGGCTACATTGCTCCAAATACTGAATTAATTTCTGAAATASKKRACAAGTACTTATTATTCGAACCTGACTAATCGGTGCTGGAACCTAGCCGGTTTTCTGGAAGTCTTTTTTCGTCGTCTCAAGGGAGAAGCCTCTCACGTGGAGAAAATGGCGACGGAGCAAGATAAACCAACATTGAAATCCCTAATGAAGGCTATCCGTGAATCGAAAGAACTCACTGAACATATTAATCAAAAAACAGATAATATCCAACAGTCGCTAACAAAAATGGAGTTGTCATTGTCAACACTGGCTGAACAGGTGCAGGAAATGGAGACCAGAATTGGAGCTAACGAAGACAACCTCACTGACATACAAGCACGTATAATAAAAATGGAGAAGGATGTAACTTTCCTGAAGGACAAAACTGACGATTTGGAAAACCGGAGCAGGAGGTCAAATCTCAAAATGATAAACATCCCAGAAAAGTCAGAAGGTACCGACATGGTTGGTTATGTGGAACGACTAATCCCGCGGCCTCTTGGGGAGGAACACTTCCCAACCCCGGTTGCTATCGAGAGGGCACACCGCCTGGGGAGACCGACGGAGCGGACCAGACCTATCCTCGTGAAATTCCTGAACTTCAGGGACAAAGACAAAGTGCTTCGTTTGGCCAGGGACAAGGGAACGGTGCAGTTGGATAATAACCGAGTCTCATTTTATCCGGATTACAGCATTGAGATCCAACGCAAAATGTTCGCTTTCAATGAAGTGAAGAAAAAACTACGGGAGAAAAACATTGAATACACCAGCCGCTACCCTGCTAAACTGAGGATTCGACACGGAGGTGGATTTAAACTATTTTCAGCCCCGTCTGAGGTGGAGACCTTCCTGACCACTATCCGGGACAAGCGATAGGATATTTCCTTTTCAAGATGACCACGCACCAAGACTGTTAACGGTAAAATGAGGTTACACAAGATAATCCATAATTTCTAGATATACCAAACCACATGAGGCACATATGTGCTTGATTTATAATACTTGTAAAGTTGATTTTGTTAAGTTGGTTTAATATAACCGTCAGTATTTTTCCTTTTTGACTTTTTTGTTTGAGCAAATGTAATATTCTTTTTCAGAAAATTTTTTCTCTGCTGAGGATACCATAAATGTTTAGAAGTAGAGTTTATC